CTCTGCTATTTGGGGTCCTGAGTCATTCTGAAGGCCCCAGATTGGGGATATTCTCTCTCTCAGTAGACACTTCACTTGAAAAATCTCCAGGATAAAATGTGGTTTAAGCATATGCTTAAAAATAAGTATTTGTTTGTGTGCAGCCTGACTTAAGATTCTTTATGTTGTGCAAGACAAGTGTAGCACAGGTGCAAACTATGAGTTCTTCAGGATTGTTCCTTTTTTTAAAGGAATGAGATTAACCAATGACATAAACCAGCAAAAGAGCAGAACACACTGATGGAAGGAACCAATTCCAAGAGTAAGGACAGCAGAATGGAGCTCAGGCTGCTCAGGAACACATCCTACTTGCTTCTTCCTCTTGCTGCACACAGTTTCTGTCCGTGGGGGAATCCTTCATTGTTTGTCTAGGAACAAGAAGCCCTTAGAGAAATGGAATGCCCAACACCCCGATGGAAACAGACGACCTGAATTTCTGACTCCAGCCATAAAGAGCTGCAGCCTCCACACAGCAGCAGGGGCTTTACCTTCAGGGGGCATTAAGAGAGCCTCAAACAGCCAGGGTTCCTGGAGCCTGCTGCAGTTTATTTAGGGGGCTGTCAGGCTTAATTAGCTGATATTTATAAAGGGCTGCGAGATCCTCAAGTGGGTGGAGTTTCTAGTGCAAGTCTTGGGCCCAATCCTGCACTTTATTCATGCTGTGAAATATGCTGTTGTTCCTGCAGGTAACTGAGAGCACAGCAGAGCTGGAAAGGGTCTGGGAAATGGTGTGTTTATTCTAAAAGAAATTTTTCCCTCTAAGCACTCTTGAATAACCTTTTTTCTATCCTACACACCTGGACCTGTAAACCTTCTCTGCGTAGAATCTATTTGAAGCCTTTCACACAATGCAGCTTGTGAGTCCAAGTCCTGCTTTGTGGAGGATATGTCCATTTAGCAAGGAAAGGGACATCATCTCGTTATTGAAGTTAGTAAGAGCTTCCCAGGAACTCAAGTAAAGGCAGAATTTTCCCCCAGTTGAATTAGATTTCCCCCCTCACACATACCTGATAGTCAGTTTATAGGAGACATCCTTGTGGCTGGGATAAGGTGACTTTAAAGAAACCAGAGTTTACCAGTTCTACCACTAGCTCTGTACCCAGACCAGCAGTTTGTACGAGTTATACAGGGCTATTGCTGTTGAAGCCTGCACACCTTTTCCATAGTCAAATAGGGGATGTGTCTCTTCACCTCACTTTCCCCATGTACAAAACAGACATGATGCTTCATTACCTTAACAAGAGCCATGAATATTCGATGGGCACTTTGTGATACTTGGGTGGAGGATGCAGAAGAGTGAGGTGTTATTAAGTTTTGCTGATGCAGTTGAGGCAGCCTGTGTAGACTTCTTGTCTTCTCTTGTCATCTTTGAAGACACAGTTTCTGTGGGACAGTCCTGAGGGTATCCAGACTGGTAGTGTCCATGGCTGTGTGCTGGGCTTGATGCAGTGTCTGTGTTCTCGTTCCAGATGTCCCAGACCAGTGCCAGCCTTGGCAACCTCCTGAACATTAAGACAGAAGGTGATGGCAGCCAGGCTGGGGCTGGAGAGCCAACCCAGTACTTGGGCAAGGCAGTGAAGGCACTTGTCCAGGAGAAGCTCTCTGAGCCATGGAAGATGTACCTGCGCCGGTAAGGAGAGCATGGAACTGGGGATAGAGGAAGGGGAAAAGTTTGCCAAGTGTCTGGCTCATTGGGTCATGCCTGAATGCAGAGTTCTGTTGAATGTAAAGGCCTAATTCTGTCACACCCTGATCACCTGCAGTGTGTTTAGTCGTCGGTCCTAGTAGGTGTTAGGTCCCATGAGGAATGTCTGTCCACATGGAATTATTTTGCAAAGGGATCTTGAGAGCCAAATACAAGCACAGAACTTCACATAGCTCTGTTAGCCTGGACTTCAGCCTAGGCTGCTCCTAATGTCCCTGGACTGTGAGTCCTGGGAACACACTGCAGCTCTTAGCACTGGACTTGTGTGGGACCATGGTCAGTTGTTACACACAGCTCACAGGAGCCTTCACATGCTTCCTGTGGCATTTCCTCTGATCGTAGGAGTAAGTAAGTAGTAAGGAGTTCAGTAAGCCACTGAGCAAAGTGTGTTTTGGGGATACAGGGGCATGGGAATAAGTACAAGGGGTATGGGAACTGGGATGGTTTCTGCTGGTTTTGTTGTAGAAAAGGAGACTCAAAAAGAAAATGGAACAGATACAAACCTCACCCACACACAGACACATGCACACACATGCCCAGACAGACACATGCTTTGAGCACACACAGATACACCCAGGCAGACACGTGGGTTTGTGCTCTGACACAGATAGTTGCCTGTGAATGCCTGTGGACACTTTGTAAATCACAGGCTTTAATGGAGAGGACCAGAAAGTCTTCTAGTCCATCTGCCCCTGGCCAGTGTGAGATCCTTCCCTGCAGTCCATTTGCATTTTGTCCAGCCTAGTTGTAATTATACCAGGCAGTGTGGCTATTTTCTTGTCTCTGGGAGCATTATTCTACCACCTAATAAGTTTCAGTGTCACAATTTTTTTCCATGGTATGCTGCCTGAATTTCTCTTTTTGTAATTTCGTTGCAGTTCTGGTTCTATCCCCTTGAACCACAGCAGATAATTCCTCTCTGCAATTGGAGTTCACTCCCTTCAGATAGTCACAGACTTTTAGCATTCCATTTAACCAGGCTTGTTTGCTCCCTTTCATCTGGCTCTGTAAATGAGTCCCTTCAGCCTGCAGATCGTGTCACTGCTGCTGTTCTCTGTTCCCTGGGCACTGCAGGGTTGGGCTGTCCTCCCTCTATCACCACCCCAAGGCAGAACCAGCTTTCTGCCCCCATACAGCTCACAATTTGTTTGCATCTATACAAATTAACGTGTTCATACCCTGTTTGCCATCCCCTGTGCCATAGGATTGCTTTTCATGTTGCCCTGGTGAGTCCCCTATGGACCCAAACACCCTCCCACCCCCAGGTGTACCAGCTGTGTGTTTCCAAACACAACTCTCATGCTCTGAACCTTCTCCCTTGCCTTGCCAGGCCTCTCTGTGCTCTTTTTTCTCCTCTTGCACTGGTGTTGCCAACTCCTCCCAGTTTAGTATCTTCTGTGAATTTCATTACCAGGCTGTTAGCTCCCAGATTGCTAATGAAGATGTTAAATAAGCTCAGACTAACCCAAGTCCTCCTGCAGCACTCACACGATGCCTCCTCCCAGCTCAGTGTGGTGCTGGTTGTCATCAGCCTTTGTTTACAGTCCCTCAGCCAGTCCCAAGCCATGAGGTGGCATCCACATCCAGGCCAACTGGAATTAATTCTAAGCATATGTGAGACTGTTTCAGAATGCTTTACTAAAATCCAAATATATTGCATCCCTTCATCCACTAATTTTGTAATTCTATCAAAAAAAGCAATTAAATTTGTCTGGCAAGATTTATTCTTTATAATCCTGATGCTGTTTATTGCTCATGGTTCCTTTATCCTCTAGATGTTTAATGATTTTCTCCTCCCTCTTAATATTTGTTCCATTACTTTACTGGAAGGAGAAGTTAAGGCTAGAGGTATGATAATTGCCAAAGATGACTTGTCTTTTTTTTTTCCCCCTGAAAAAAACAGTACCTTGACTGTTTTAATTTTTTTTCCCAATTACATAGCACCTCCCTTTTCTCTGTGGCTTAAAAACCAGCAATCAGTTTGGCAGTTAATTTCCATTGCACTTCAGGACACATATAATCCAGACTGGCTGATTTGTGCATATTTATATTTTTTCAACCAGTCCCTTTATCTACTCTTCTAGAAGGTCTTCATTTTATCCCTGATTCCCTGTGTTGTCTTTAGTTTCCTCATCCAAAACAAATTTTTCCAAGACATTTCTGACTCATCACCTCCAATTTTTCCTGAGCCTTCCTTGTAGGTTCAGTACCCCTCGCCTCTGATAAAACAACCCCTTTAGTTTGCAATAACTTGGTTTCTTCTCTCTTACCACACCATGACTTTCCTTCCTCTTCTCCCTGCAAGCCATAACTGACAGCATGTGTTGTATATCCACAGACCTTCCTTCCCCAGTACAAGTTTTTCCCTTTTTCCTTTACCCTCCCCTTGAGGAGGTCCCTCCAGGGACCACACAGGCTGCCGGTTGTTTCTTGCTTTCCTGCTCATCAGAGCAATTGTAGTTTGTTGTATCTTAATTATGCAAGATTCTCTTGTTAAGTTTCAGATCCTTCCTGCCAGTGTTTCTTACTTGATTTCTGGATTCCCTACTATGATTCTGGAGTTTCCTGAAATCACATGTTGTTTTTGCTGCTCTCATTCAGTCCAGAGAACCTCAGCAGTGACACAATGCTTAGAGAGTTTTGCCCTCTTGACCATTTCCTCCAAGGTATCAAGAGGCAGATCTTGGACAGTTGCTTTTGCTCTGGTGTTTGCATTGCAGTGTTGTTCTGTACATCAGGGGTTGTGCTCTGCAGTGTTTCTCCATTCTAGGCTGTATTTGCTAAGTAGGTGATGCTTCATCTTTCCCTGTTGGTTCAAGGCAGGAGGTGGGCAAACCTTGGATCTAGAGTCCCTTCACTGACTGTTGTTTGTGGGATGCTAATAGAGTTGAAAAACGAAAGAAAATACGTCTGTTCCAGCCCTGCTTCTCTTCTGGGGCCTTCCCTGAGATGTCTCTTGTGTGCTCTGGGCAGGTTTGGCACCAAGGATTTCTGCGACGCGCAGTGCGACTTTCTCCATAAGGTGCATTTCCACTGTGTGGTGGAGGAATGTGGAGCCCTGTTCAGCACCCTGGATGGAGCCATCAAGCATGCCAAGTAAGTGTGAGAGCAGGAACCTTGAGAAACCTGGAGAAAACTCTACAGCACACACACTGCAGGATGGGAGAGAGCAGTTCAGGAGAGCCCCAAGCTCCTTTTAAAGGCAATGCAGAGAAGGAGTAAGGCCTTCAGCATCTGACCACGTGCCTGGTTCTGACGGGGTTAAAGGGAAGGAGATGTTGCAAATTTTAAGACAGATCTGTTAGCACAGTTGGCCTCTCCTGTTGGATAGTTCCCTGTGGTTCACTACAACAAACCACTGACCTCTCTGCACAGCCCTGGAGGTTGCCCCACAGGCATATTGATCTCGGTGGCTGTGGCAATTCTGGCATTCCTCTGATTCCAACAGGCTTTTACACCTGTTTGCACTCTCTTAATTCACTCCACAGACAGTCTAGGAGGGCTCTAAATCCTTCCACAGAGTTTGCAGAGTCCCTTTTAGGATTGATCTTCAGCTAATTTGTTTGCAGACTCCTGCAACATCCTTGCTGCTGTTTAATCAAATGATATGAAACGGTCAAGAATTTATGCCTGAACTAACATTGTCTTTTTGCAGTTTTCACTTCCGAACTGAGGGTGGAACTGTGAAAAGTAACTCTGAGTCTCCCTTCTCAACTGCTACTGAGAATAAGGCTTCACTGGCCCCTTCATCACCATCTGCTACTTCTGCCACCGTGGCGGGTGCTCCTGCCCTCGACGTGCCCACTCCGAGTCCAGCTACTGTGCCCTCTGCCCCCACACTGCTAGCTTGGAAGCAGCTGGCTTCAACTATACCCCAGATGCCTCAGATCCCAGCATCAGTGCCTAACCTGGCAGCTTCACCCTTGGCAACAACTTCCCTGGAGAACGCCAAGCCTCAGGTCAAACCCGGATTTCTCCAGTTCCAGGAGAAGTGAGTCGTAGCTGCTCTTTGCTTCCTTGTGTCCTCCCCAGCCTTGCAGTCCCCTCAGAGCTGCAGTGCTACACCTCTGCTCACCCACTGAGACCTTCTGTCTAGAAAGTGCTCTGGGCTTTACCTGGCAGAAAATTTATTTCTATCAAGTCTAGAGAATACTTTCAATTATTCTAGGAAGGAAACAGGATTTTTCAAGTACATCTGAGAGCACTTTTAGGCAAGAGTTTAGAAGAGAAATAAACTTGCTGATTTATCAGTGAGTCCTCTTTTTATCCCTTATGAGAGGTGTTGTTTGTTAGGAACTGCAGTGATAGGACAAGGGGTAATGGATTCAAACTGAAGGAGGGGAAGTGTAGGTTAGATTATTATTCTAGGAAGGAAACAGGATTTTTCAAGTACATCTGAGAGCACTTTTAGGCAAGAGTTTAGAAGAGAAATAAACTTGCTGATTTATCAGTGAGTCCTCTTTTTATCCCTTATGAGAGGTGTTGTTTGTTAGGAACTGCAGTGATAGGACAAGGGGTAATGGATTCAAACTGAAGGAGGGGAAGTGTAGGTTAGATTAAAAAGTAAAGTGGTGAGACACTGGCACAGGTTGCCCAGGGAGGCTGTGGCTGCCC